CTATAAAGATTTGAATATGCAAAAACAAAAAACATTAATGTGACCAAAAGGGCAAAATGTATCAAATTTATTAAAGTTGTATTGGTGCCTGGAGTGTCCCTTTAATTTTAAGTTTACTGTCCCATTAGAGAAATAAAGTATATTTTATCCATCAGCGAAAATTATGTACTGATGTACGTTGCTAAATCTTTAAAATAAAGCAGAGGTGGGGGCGTGGCCTGGCAGCGCGCGAACATGGACGCGTAAGCTCCCAGCTCCGACGAGGGTGAATACATATACCGCAAATAGAAGAGCATAAACTGCCCTACCGGCTCGAAAACTGAGCGGTAAGCCTCACAGACCGACCATGTCCTTACGGACAGCAAAAAAAACTAAAATATGCCCGGCAGAGATACAGATAACATCGCTCACGCCGCCCAGGAACAGGGCCCAAGATGGCGGCGGAGGCCATACATCCCCAGCAGCATGCTCCGATCAGAGCGACAGCACTTCCATCTCCCAGGGGAATTCAGCACCTGCCTCTGAGTCCTCAATGCATAGAATGCTGCAGGAACTGCAGCACAATCTGCAAAATGAATTCAGCAAACTTGCCCGAGATGTTAGGGCTGATGTCCAAGCAATAGGGGAGCGTACGTCTATATTAGAAGAAAAAACTGAAGAAATCATAGAGGCCCATAACAACTTGGTAGAGGCCTATGACTCCTTTGGTGCTAAAATCGACACTTTGATTGCAAAAGTGGCGGACCATGAGGATCGCAACAGAAGGAATAATATACGCCTGCGGGGCATATCGGAGGATATTAAGCCAGCGGACTTACAGGGTTTCGCTATAAAACTATTTAAAGCACTGTGCCCAGAGCTTGAGGAGGCAGATCTACGCCTAGATCGTATACACAGGCTCCCCAAACCGCGCTTCCTTGCAGCCTCCATTCCAAGAGACGTACTCACTAGAGTACACTTTTTCACTTCTAAAGAAAGTGTCATGAAAGCAGCAAGGCACAGGGATAACATCCCAGAGGAATATAGTGGCATCCAACTCTTCACCGATCTGTCGGCGGCGACACCAGCTAAACGCAAAGAGCTGGCACCGATCACCAAAACGCTGAGGAACGCTGATATGCCCTACAAATGGGGCTACCTGACACGAATTATTGTCAGGAAGAACGGAGTGGAGCATCAAATCAACACTGTCAGGGAAGGAATCCAAATGCTCAAAGATTGGAACATGCCTGTGGCACCCCAAGATATCGCAGACCCACCCAACAAACAACGCAAGTCGCCTACAAAAGTATCCAAGGAATGGATGTCGATGTCTAAGCACAAGTGACAAGGACTGAGTCACGAAAACCAAACACCTTTAGGACTGTCGCTCTCTCTACCATAGACCTGGTTCACAGTCCTAGGGATGCGTGAGCATAACCATACATGATTGCAACTGTTGATTTGTTATATGTAGCAATTATGTCATTTCTTTGTTTTTTGTTCTTTTAGTTCCTCATTTTCATTTTCATTCATTTTTTTACTTTGAAGTCAGCTTATTGGATGGGAATGTTATGAGCAGGCGTGACATCTTATGTAGCCAACTAGTGTACCATTCCCACCATCAACCTGTCAAAGGAATGTAAGATGTTATAAGTGTAAAGGGCAGTTTCTCAAGTCCTATGAACACCCTCCCCCACTTTGGCTTTATTAAGCCGCGAGATCAGCTCTCGTTCACAGACGGAACACGTTTGTACTCCATGTTGTATATAGTTGCCACTTGGCTATCTACCCTCCCCCCTCCTTCCCACCCTCCGAGCTCACTTATAGCAGGGTGCCCACCAGGAACATCCCTGATTAATAGAGTAAAAACAAACAAAAAGCTAAGACAATACACCTCACCTCTTATTGTACAAGTCCCAAGACAAGGATATCACTTTGCACTAAAAATTTACAATTGGGTGCGATATGCACATGACAGAATTCAAGATAGCATCATTGTATCAGGCAGATGGCCCTGACCATTTTGTCGCTCAATACCAAAGGGCTTAATTCACCCCATAAACGGAGATTAGCTCTAGCCGAAACAAAGAAACTAAGAGCACATGTAGCTTTCTACCAAGAAACCCATTTTCTCAGAAACAAAATGCCTAGATTCTCATCTAAATTCTACCCTACTGGGTATCATGTAGGATACAGTAAAAAGAAGAGAGGCGTATCTATATTAATCAGTAGGGATATCTCCTTCACGCTTCATAAGAAAGTAGGGGACAAAGAAGGGAGATATCTTTTAATACAATGTCAGATTAATAATGAACCGTACACGCTTCTAAATGTCTATGGCCCTCACGATAATCAAGGTATATACCTAGACAAGATAATTACGCTCACCCAAGCATATACATATGGTAAATTGATTATAGGGGGTGACACGAACTTTCTGCTAGATAGCAATCTAGACACTACATCAAACACCACGGTATCACACACCACCGCTAAGAAGAGATCCGCCATTACACATCAGGTTAGACATCACATACACAAAGCAGGCCTATTAGACATCTGGAGAGTGCTACATCCTTCTGAAAAAGACTTCACCTTCCACTCCCAGGCGCACAACTCCTACTCTAGGATCGATAGATTCTTGATCCCTCAATCCCTAATTCCGACAGTACAAGGAACGAGCATTGGACAGATCACATGGTCAGACCATGCACCCATAACCCTGACGATAACAGAGAAATTTCCACATAAAGGCCAAGGGTCCTGGAGACTCAATGAATCCTTATTAAAAGATCCACAGATTGCCCAACATATTAGGGACGACATTAAAATGTACTTTGACATAAACTGCTCAGGAGATGTAACCACTGACACGATATGGCAAGCCCATAAGGCGGTCATCAGGGGCTCACTGATCAAACATGGCTGCTATGCCAAAAAGCTAAGAAAGGCCACGTACGATACCCTTCTCCAACAAATTATGGCCATCACGCACGCCAATAAACAAAACCCCACACAACCACAGTATGACAAGCTTCGAACACTACAAACCCAGCTCAATGAGGTGGAACTAAACAAAACCAATCATATCTTACACAGATACAGACACAAATTTTTTGCGCAAGGCAACAAATCAGGGAAAATCCTCGCCTCCAAGCTAAAAGCGCGTACTACCCACTCACGAGTGGAATTTCTTTTATCCTCAGATAAGCGCAAATTGTTGAACCCACAAGATATTGTGGAAGAATTCGCAACCTATTATAGCTCCCTTTACAACTTAGAGAACCAAGAGTCTACTCACGTCCCCTCAGAAGATCAAATTCAGCGCTTCCTAGCAAATATTGACTTACCTACACTTACAGACGCAGAAATAGAGGCCCTTACTCGCCCCTTCACTAACGCAGAAATATTGAGCATCATAACAAAACTACCAGCTCACAAATCCCCAGGTCCGGATGGCTTTACAAATGTATATTATCAGACCTTTTCCGACCTGCTGTTACCTCACTTAACAAACCTCTGCAATCATTGTTTTGACACAGGGTCTATGCCCCAGGACATGCTACTAGCACATATCTCCACACTGCCCAAGCCTGGAAAACCAGCGAACCAATGCCAAAATTTCCGTCCAACCTCCCTCCTCAATAGCGATACGAAAATCTACGCTAAAGCCCTAGCCGAACGCCTGAAAGACATTCTCACCCGAATAACGCATAATGATCAATCGGGTTTTGTTAAAAATAGACAGGGGTCGGACAACACGAGGAAAATCCTCAACATTTTGGCACATATGGAAAATAATAACGTGGAGGGTCTTCTGCTGGCACTGGACGCCGAGAAGGCCTTCGACAGACTGAATTGGAGATACATGGAGCAAGTTCTCCTAAAATTTGGCTTCCCCGCACCATTTATTAAGGGCCTCTTGGCCCTGTATTCCAGCCCAGCAGCCAAAGTCTCCAGTGGCGGTTTCCTATCGAGCCCCTTCAAGATCACAAACGGCACACGCCAGGGGTGCCCGCTATCCCCCCTGTTGTTTGTGTTATCTTTGGAACCGCTAGCATGCACAATTCGCAAGCACACGGACGTCAGGGGCATACAGATACAGCAAAGGGAATACAAACTGGCCATGTTTGCGGATGATGTCCTAGTATCCCTGACTCAGCCCACAGAATCCCTGCCGCACCTCATGCGCACGTTACATGACTTTGGACAAATCTCGTATTACAAACTGAATCAAGCTAAGACCCAAGCACTCCCAATCCGACTGCCGACCACGACTGTAACTACATTGCAAGCCCAGTTCCCCTTTGACTGGAGACACTCTCACATCACATACCTAGGGGTCAAAATTGCTACTTCTCCTAGGAGAACAGTCATGCATAACATATCCACACTCCCTCAAATGTGTAAACAACTTTTACATAAATGGAAAGATGTGCAAATCACATGGTTAGGCAGGATAAATACTGTTAAAATGATGATACTACCGAAAATATTATACATCTTCAGAATGTTACCACTACCTCTCTCTCTCTCGCTAAGCGCCCAAATCCAAAAAATGTTATCGGTTTTTGTGTGGGAAAACAAAAAACCCCGCATTCCCCTATCCTTGCTGCAAACCCCGGTTAAGTTGGGAGGATTGGGCTTCCCTAATGTCCTAATGTACCACAAAGCAGCAGTACTAGAAGCAGCTATCAAATTACACGCCCCAAAAAATACACTTCAGTGGGTCGACATGGAAAATGAATACGGTACAGGAAGCTCAGCAATACACTATATGTGGACACCCAAACAACTAAGAGACAAATCCCAAGCATTATTGCCCCTTACTAGGACCACCATACAAGTCTGGGACCAATTACACCGCTTGCAAGCGACTGACAATAAATTCCTAAAATGGGCACCCATAGAGGCACTACAGTCTATATCTCCGTGGTTATCGTTCAAAAAATGGTCAGCACTGGGAATTACCCATATTACTAACCTATGTTCACAAAGGGACATCATCCCCTTCCCAGATCTACAGACCGCATACAACCTCCCACCATCCTTCATCTTCCCATATGTCCAACTAAAAAGCATTGTCCAAGAACGAGTACTGCTCACAACACAAACTACAGACAACCCCAACACAGAAAGATTGGCACTGTATGACAGATGCCGTACGGCCCCAATCAGAGCCCGCTCCCTGTCCCTCAGCTATGCAGCCCTAAGACACACTAACACGATGCCAGACTTTTCCTTTATGGCACAGTGGAATAGGGAACAAACTATTCGCTTTCCTAAAGATCAGTGGCTACGATCAATCCTAGCGCTTAAAGGTATCACATCCTGCTACTCACATGTAGAAGCACACAAAAAATTGATCTATAGATGGTACCTCACACCTGACAAACTTAACAAAATATACCCACTATCATCAGCACAATGTTGGAGGTGCGAACAGGACAGGGGCACAATGAGCCACATATGGTGGCACTGCCCGAACATACAACCATTATGGACGGAGGTCCAGACGATCTGTAATTCCTTAGGGGTTCTCAGGGGTAAGATCACACCTGAGATAGGTCTTTTTCTTCTGATACCCATGACCACCCCTTATCAAGATAGACAACTAATGATTATGGTAATCATGGCAGCACGTAATCTCCTAGCATACCACTGGAAGCAGAAGGAATGCCCATCGTCACAGCTATTATATAGTAAAATACAACAGTACCTTAGGTATGAGCAATTGTCCGCAGCCACACCCAAACATAAGACTGCCACAAACAATAACTGGCATAAATGGATAACTTTTGATCCACTAGCAGTACCATAGGCGGTATTATAGCTTTGAACTTACCATAGTCAGTATTATAACTATAGACTTACACCCCACACAAACACTGGACAACCAAGCAGAAGGGAGGAACAGTATAGCTAACCTCAGGATAATAGGGGGCAAGTCACGTAGACATATGCATGTTCAGCAGCAACTTATGTATAATCAGCAACAACAATGACCAAAGAACGACCACCAATGCTCACCCTAGATTGTAGGGTCAAAAAGGCCCAACCCTAGACGGTGGAAAACACACCGGGCAATTCTGCAGAGGCGCACCTTGACCAGGAGTCATCCATAGATAAGCACACGCACCTGTAACTGTACATTGTTGGGTACGGTATATATATTACTAGAATGCTTTGCATACAGACTCAGGATTTGCCAGTTCGGAAACACGCTGAAACTGTAAATTGCACTGTATTGTGGTATCGCTTCTCCTTTACCCTTTACCCACCTACCCCTCTTCCTTTCTGTACCCCAACTGTTATGAAAAACTCAATAAAAGTACAAATTGAAAAAAAATAAAGCAGAGGTACACATAAAAAATATTTTAAAATAAGTTATAGGTGGTTTTCAGTATTTAATACAATGGTGTAATTCCAGGAGAACTTATGGACCATCTTTAAAGTAATTAAATAATGCTTAATATTTAAATTTCACTTTGAATTCCTAAAAATTTACATTTTATTGAACAAAACCCTGATCCTGGCACAGTCAATACACATGTTAGATTGGATGAAAATCAAAGTATAATTTGTTTATTGATATGTAGTGATGCACCCAACGGTTCGCGTTCGCCATGGCGGGCGAACATATGCGCAGTTCGATCCGCCCCCTATTCGTCATCATTGAGTAAACTTTTAACCCTGTACCTCACAGTCAGCAGACACATTCCAGCCAATTAGCAGCACACCCTCCCTAGCAGACCCTCCCACCTACTGGACAGCATCCATTTTACATTCATTCTCAAGCTGCATGCTTAGTGAGAGGAGGGAAAGTGTAGCTGCTGTTGATTAGATAGGGAAATGTTTAGCTAGGTTAGGGTATACAGTGTCCACTACAGTCCTGAAGGACTCATCTGATCTCTGCTGTAAGGACAGCACCCCAAAAAGCCCTTTTTAGGGCTCAAACATTAGTCTGCTTTTTTTTTTTTTTTTTTGTGTAATGTAATTGCAGTTAGTTGTCGGCCAGCTTCTGTGTCAGGCTCACAGTGGATACTGTGCCCAGTGCCACCACTCACTCACTGGTGTCACAATAGCTTGCATTTAAAAAAAATGTTTTTTTTTCTCACTATAATAGATTGAAGAGCAGTTAGTTGTCTGCCAGCTTCTGTATCAGGCTCACAGTGGATACTGTGCCCAGTGCCACCACTCACTCACTGGTGTCACAATAGATTGCATTTAAAAAAAAAAAAACTTTTTTCACTGTTATAGATTGAATAACAGTTAGTTGTCTGCCAGCTTCTGTGTCAGGCTCAGAGTGGATACTGTGCCCAGTGCCACCACTCACTTACTGGTGTCACAATAGCTTGCATTTAAAAACAAAAAACTTTTTCACTGTTATAGATTGAATAGCAGTTAGTTGTCTCAAAACGGGTGTGTCAGCCCTACAGCGTGTACTCTGCCAGTTCACAGTGCCATTCATATCTGGTGTCATAATAGCTTGCATTTAAAAACAAAAAACTTTTTTCACTGTTATAGATTGAATAACAGTTAGTTGTCTGCCAGCTTCTGTGTCAGGCTCAGAGTGGATACTGTGCCCAGTGCCACCACTCACTTACTGGTGTCACAATAGCTTGCATTTAAAAACAAAAAACTTTTTCACTGTTATAGATTGAATAGCAGTTAGTTGTCTCAAAGCGGGTGTGTCAGCCCTACAGCGTGTACTCTGCCAGTTCACAGTGACACTCTTATCTGGTGTCACAATAGCGTGCATTTAAAAACCCAAAAACTTTTTTCACTGTTATAGATTGAATAGCAGTTAGTTGTCTGCAAGCGTCTGTGTGTCAGGCTCGCAGCGTATACTGTGCCCACTTGCCCAGTGCCACCACTCACTCACTGGTGTCACAATAGCGTGCATTTAAAAACCAAAAACTTTTTTCACTGTTATAGATTGAATAGCAGTTAGTTGTCTTCAAGCTGGTGTGTCAGGCCTACAACGTGTACTCTGCCAACCTTTGCCAGTTCAAAGTGCCACTCTTATCTGGTGTCACAATAGCTTGCATTTAAAAACAAAAAACTTTTTTCACTGTTATAGATTGAATAGCAGTTAGTTGTCTTCAAGCGGGTGTGTCAGCCATACAGCGTGTACTCTGCCAATCTCTGCCAGTTCACAGTGCCACTCATATCTGGTGTCACAATAGCTTGCATCTAAAAACAAAAAACTTTTTTCACTGTTATAGATTGAATAGCAGTCAGTGTCCTTAAAGCGGGTGTGTCAGGCTCACAGTGGATACTGTGCCCAGTGCCACCACTCACTCACTGGTGTCACAATAGCTTGCATTTAAAAACAAAAAACTTTTTTCACTGTTATAGATTGAATAGCAGTTAGTTGTCTCAAAGCGGGTGTGTCAGGCTCACAGTGGATACTGTGCCCAGTGCCACCACTCACTCACTGGTGTCACAATAGCGTGCATTTAAAACCCCAAAACTTTTTTCACTGTTATAGATTGAATAGCAGTTAGTTGTTTGCAAGCGTCTATATGTCAGGCTCGCAACGTATACTGTGCCCACTTGCCCAGTGCCACCACTCACTCACTGGTGTCACAATAGAGTGCATTTAAAAAACAAAAAACTTTTTTCACTGTTATAGATTGAATAGCAGTTAGTTGTCTGCAAGCGTCTGTGTGTCAGGCTCGCAGCGTATACTGTGCCCATTTGCCCAGTGCCACCACTCACTCACTGGTGTCACAATAGCATGCATTTAAAAACCCAAAAACTTTTTTCACTGTTATAGATTGAATAGCAGTTAGTTGTCTTCAAGTGGGTGTGTCAGCTCTACAGCGTGTACTCTGCCAACCTCTGCCAGTTCACAGTGCCACTCATATCTGGTAGCTTGCAGGCATAGTACCACTAATCGAAAAAAAAATGACAGGCAGAGGCAGGCCACCCCTACACTGCGCATTGGGTAAACCTGCTGACGGCTGCCAAGCATGGAATGCGTGGCTCTGCAGAGGAGTTGGTGACACCGCTGCTACTTGCAGGCAGGCCTGCTGCCACCTCCTCTACTCCTCCTACTCCATCCTCTTCCATAACCTCCTCGGCTGGGTCCTCTTCTGCTGCTGTGTCTTGCTCCACATCAACGGATAGGGGACGTAACAGGGATTAAACTGATAAGAATAGTACTACTTAACACACCACTCCTATCTGGTGGCACATTAGATTGCACGCGCAGTGCCCCAAATTTGAAGTAGGAGGACCGACCAAGCATCTTTTTCCATCTCCCGGTTCCTAAAATCGATGCCATATACACGTCCCCTGATAGGGGACGTAACAGGGATTAAACTGATAGGAATAATACTACTTAACACACCTTATAATAACGCAGAGAGAGGCAACGCAGAGAGAGGAGTCTGAAGAAGAGGAGTCAGAGGAGGAAGGTGGCTTTGAGGAGGTGGAAGACCAAACACAGCAGGCGTCCCAGGGGGCTTGTTGTCACCTTTCGGGGACCCTTGGTGTTGTACGTGGCTGGGTGGAGGAAGAGACCTTCAATGACATCAGTGAGGACAAGGAACGGGACATGGCTAGCTTGGTATCCAACCTTGTGCAAATGGGGAGTTTGCGGTTGTGCAAATGGACTGTTTGCGGTGCTTTAAACGGGGAGTTTGGTCTGTCACTGTGAAGCTGGCGTAACCCTTACACTACATGATCGATACAACATCATACAGTGGGTCCCCCCCTCATTATTTTTATGGCCCCCACCCACTGCTCACAGGTGGGGGCTGGCGGGAGGACAGTAGGTCCCTCCATTGAGATTTATGGCCCCCACCCACCGTGCAGGGGTGGGGGCCGGGGGGGAGGACAGTAGGTCCCCCCTTATCCTTATTTACTGAATATTCCCGAGTATAACAATGTTTGGCATTTAGTGAATATTCCCTATTCTGCTCTGTGTCAGTGTGTATCAGGGATCCTTAGGATAGGTGTCAATCCATATCTGCCAAGTGACCCTATGTAGGGGGCACATTCCCTATTCTGCTCTGTGTCAGTGTGTATCAGGGATCCTGAGGATAGGTGTCAATCCATATCTGCCAAGTGACCCTATGTAGGGGGAACAGTCCCTATTCTGCTCTGTGTCAGTGTGTATCAGGGATCCTGAGGACAGGTGTCAATCCATATCTGCCAAGTGACCCTATGTAGGGGGAACAGTCTCTATTCTGCTCTGTGTCAGTGTGTATCATGGTCTCTGAGGACAGGTGTCAATCCATATCTGCCAAGTGACCCTATGTAGGGGAACAGTCTCTATTCTGCTCTGTGTCAGTGTGTATCATGGTCTCTG